TGGCCAGCTTGCAAAGCTGTGCTGCCTGCAGTGGCCAGTGTTGTGAGGACTGTGCTGCTGCAAGTGGCCAGCTTGCGGAGCTGTGCTGTTTGCAGTGGCCAGTGTCGTGAGCACTGGGTGCTGCTGCAGGTGGCCAGCTTGCAGAACTGTGCTACCTGCAGTGGCCAGTGTCGTGGGCACTGGGTGCTGCTGCAGGTGGCCAGCTTGCAGAACTGTGCTACCTGCAGTGGCCAGTGTTGGGCTTCTGTTGGCTTTTGACTTTTGTGGCTTTGGCGCTTAACAGAAAAGCCGATGTCTGGCACGAAAGGATACCTGGAGACGTCCCCTGTTGCTTGTGACGGAAGTCTTGGACGAAACGCTCGTTTTGGAGGAGTCCTATGTCACTTCTGGGGTCTCGCACGGAGAAACAACTATCATTTTGGAGACACGAGCCTGAGGGAAGGCGCCCACAACAGGACCAGAAAAAAATTCCCCAAAAAAACGGAAAAAATCCTTTAAAAAAACGCGGCCTCCTCTCGCCATGAGACGGAAGAAACAAGTCAGTGCCAGGGTTCCTGCCTTCACTCCCTTAGACGGAAGATGCTGCGGGAGATCCTTTCGTTTCTGTTCTCCCTACAACAGGAGGCGACTCATAGCAAGATGGAAAGAGGCACCTATAGTGCTTGACCCTCGTGGCTTTTTTTGACCGGCATCACAAGTGGACCTGCGCTTCGATGATGACGCATTGTAGATACACTGCAGATGAAGATAGATCGATTCATGCACACTAGATTCGATTGAACGACCTTCGGGTTCACATCACGGGCTTGATCTTGGCGCCCCTTCTGGTTCGATCACCGAGTGGTGCCGTTCCAAGAGGGCACGTCATTATAGAACGTCATATAGAACGTAGAATCACAGGAGAAACTGAAACGGCTTAAGCCGAGGGCTAGCAAAGAATAATATATGTTCAAGAAGTCCGGGCGGCCGGACAGTTTTGCTGGAATCTGAGTTTCCAACTGGTGAAGACCTTCAGTTCAGCACCGTTTAGCCCCTTTCTGCGCTTCGAGCGAACGAACGACAAACTTCAGTGATGTGCTTCCCGCGATGCGAAAGATGGTTGGCACATGTTGACACTTGGATCAATCTGAAGTGCCAAACAGTTCGGGTGCTTTATAGACACCCTGATTACCCCAGGGTGTACCTCAGAATTTTCCTTCACAAGCACCCAAAGGGGGTGATGACTGAGTTGGTGTTTCTATGTTTGTTGAAAGACAAGACATGAGACGACACATGTCGTGTTCGTCTCGAGGTTTTTCCCAGCGAGGTTCTATCCAATCGACCGGGTCAGGGGTTGACCGGGTCAGGGGGAGACCGAAGCTGTTGGTGTCCAAAGATGGTGACGACCAGTGAGCTCTACTTTAGACCAGTTGGAGACCCCACTGTGACAAGAAGTTGGCAGAAACGGAGCTCAGAAACAGCAGAACAAGCAGCTGCCGTTGGAGACCCCTGCGTTTTTTCGTACTGTGAGTCATGGAACTTCCAAGTTCAGTTTGGGAAGAGCCAAGCTCCTTAGGGCCTTAGTTCCTTAGTAACAAGAAACCAAGCTCCGTAGCTCCTGGCATTACTAAACAAGAAGCTACGTTCGTAACAAGGGACGTCGAAGCATGTCAAAGCTGCTTCGTTCCCAATCGACCGGTGCATGTTGTGACTGAGTCACTTGACACAAGAGAGGCCATGCGCCCGTCTTGGTATAATGACATGGAGGGTTGATGTATTTCAGTAGGGGACCTTTTTCCCGGGTTTGAGTCCATTCTGGTCCGTTCTCCTTCTTCCAAGGGGGGGTCCATTCCTGCCTGGGGTCTCCCAACTTTCAATACACCCGCCCTGTAAGTCTCCCAGTTCTTCTGCCAAGTCACGCCCGGTACGCCAACCGAGCCCAACCGATCCGCGCTGCTGATGGCAGAATCGATTGGGGCGGCCTTCCGTACGCCCGGCCTTCGATGGCCGGCTGCCCCAACTCCCAGAGGGTCACCAGACGTCAAAAGGAACGACTCGTCGGATGAGATGATAGTAGGAGGTTGGTTATGGCGCTGGTAGATTGAAACTGAAGACCTGCTGGGAGGTACTCGTAGGTTTCACCCGTTTTCACGGCTCGCTTCGAACACAGCCGAGTTTTCGACCGGAAGCAAGCGGGATGCCGCGGCCGGATTGCGATTGTGGGGCTCTGAGATCAAGCCAACTGGGATCCCCCCAAAAGGACACAGCTTCCAAAAAAGAAACTTGTCTTATTTGATCTCAGGTTTGGAAGCTGGTTTGCGACCAGTTCTGCACCTTTCAAGGCGGAAAAACTTTCAACACATATAAGTTATTAACTATAGTAATGTTATTTCATTAATTTCAATCATCGGCTTGCCAGGGTGAGAGTGTTTCTCTCTTCCCCCAACTTCTAAGATCAGGACACCTCTGGTGTTTGGGATTGGGATTGATCAAAGTAGAGCAACCCGAGGCGTGTGACACGGGAGCCGTGGAGGGTGTGTCCTTCGTATGGGAAGACTCGAGCCCTCCAGATAGACCTCTCTGAAAGAACCGAAAGAGGCTGACCAAAAGACCTAAAAAACCTTTCCATTGTGGTGGCTAGAGGGGTTCACTTTGGGGGATCTCAATCTAAATCGATACCAGATCGAGACCAGTTTCAGGTTGGGGATCACTGCTTTGGACCCGAACTTGCGGATTGGTTACCTCTTTATAGTTATATATAGTCATATCGTATCGTTGGCGTTGAAAAACCTCGAGCAAGTACTTGTATTGTGCCTGTCCGTTGCGTACTTGAGAGTGCTATAGCCATATATACCCTGACAATCCCTGACAGACCCCTGACAGTTTAAGACCGAAATGGTCCCTGGGTGATCCATGTTTCAGGACTGGACTTCGCAGGTCCAAATGGTCCATGCTGAGCCATGCCACATATTCTTGATCTGCCAACGCAGACACCGGTCTCCGACGGTTTGCGTCGGTCTCCGTCGGGCCGTCGGACGAATGGGTCAGTGGCCAGATCAAGACCACAAGTCCCAGAAGCTTCTATAGGAGTGCGGGAGTCCGATATTTTTGCAATAGGTCTGACCACCAACTTCAGTTCGTGACCGAACTTGAGATCCCCGGTCACGAATGAGATCGACAGAGAGGGTCACGAACTGAAGGCCTGGTGGCGCATCGAACTGGACTCGGACAACCGAGGGTTTAGGGTTTAGGGTTTAGAGTTTGAAGGCAGAACGGGACTTGATGTTTTGCGGAGCCCAGAGGCTCTAGATTTGCGGTTTTGTGCCACCACCATGGACGCGAATTGGACCCAAGTGATCCCAAGTGTAAGTGTGTGTGCCACGCAACCAGAGGAGCTTGACCAGCTTGACAAGACCCTC